CTAGTGGATCGTGGAGGACCCAAGGCGACAATTGGCCAGTTTCTCCAAGAGGCGATCATGGGACACCAGATCGAAGGCTTTTTTGAAGTCAAGATATATGACATCAATCTCTTCTCCCTTGTCACCTGGTCGTAGAAGGAAATGAGATTGGTCAAGCAAGACCTACCCGCAACAAACCCGTGCTGGCTATCCCTTAAGATGTTGGCGTCGGCCAGTCCATTAAGGATGGCCTGTTTGATAAACTTTTCTAAGATCTTCCCCGGGATAGAAGTCAGGCTGATGGGCCTATAGTTAGCCGGATCCACTTTCCTCCCTTTCTTGAAGATAGGCACCACATTGGCCTTCTTCCAGTCTTCGGGCACTACACCAGAGCGCCAAGAGTTTTCAAAGATCCGTGCTAGAGGTTGGGCTATGATGCTCGCCAGCTCCTTGAGTACCCTGGGGTGAAGATTGTCAGGGCCGGCTGACTTGAAGGTATCCAGCTTCTCAAGATGTTCCTTCACGAAGTCAGCATCAATGGAGGGCAGGGGATCACCCTCATCCGGACTTCCCTGTCCCGTAGCGGGCATGGGCATCCCATGGGACTGATGAAAGACCGATGCAAAGTACCTATTTAATAGGTTGGCTTTTTCCTGGGCGTCAGTTGTCAGTTGCCCCATCTGGTTTGGTGGGCTGGGAGCACGACTTGGCAGGGTGACACGTCACCTCCCTCCTGGCCTCACAAAAGTTACTTAGGAAGGGTAATATAGCTATGCACACCATTATTTTTCTGTAGAGTTCCTCTCTGGGAGTTGGGTGTCACAAAGGCTTGGCATAGATGGCCAGCCCTTTAAATGGCTTTTTAAACATACACATAACTGCTTGTGAGAAGGAGTTGTTGCAGAAATACCCTTGCAAAAAGCTTCTTCCATTGGTTTTATTCTGGGTTTGGGGAGAATTTTGTCTCCAAATTTTGCCACCATATCAAAGAAAAAAAACGCAAATAAAAACCAATTTTTTATTTTGATTTAGAACTTTGAAAAATTTTCTTGAAACAAAAACTCATTTTTGACTCCAAAAATGTCTCATTTAGAACATGCTGAAACGGGACATGGAACATTTATGCATGTGCTCCAGGACTGGCAGGGGAGGTACTTTAATTAGAGCAGCTCCAAGAGCCGCTCTAATTAAAGCACCTGGAGCATCTCATGTATCATCATCCCCGTGCTTCAAAATGGTGGCAGGGGCACTTTATCTAAAGCTCAAGTAAGCTTTAATTAAAGCACCCCTGCTAATATTTTGAAGTGCAGGGACACTGATACACAAGATGTGGGAGGCTGCTGGAATGTGGTAATTGCCATGCTCCAGCAGACTTGATTAAATGAGTTAATTAATTGAGTCTGCTCCCATGTGCTGGAATTACAGTACATTGGAGGAACCTCCCTACTTGTGTATAGGCACCCATGATGATGACCACCATGTTTTACAAATTGTTTCAGATCAAATGAATCCAATTTTCAGTGACTAAAGAAAGAACACAACACATAACCCATTCTAACGAATGGAATTATTCCTAACTGACACTCACCTACTTAGATCAGAATGAGCAGCGTGTGTCCCCGGTCTATTGTCTTATTGAATACATAGAAGCTAATCTTCAATAAAATGTTGGATAGGGAGGATAGAAGGAACTATAAGAAAATATGCAGAGAGAAACTTTCAAACCAAGCCCTGGTTTGGGCTACATTGCTATCTATCTATTTTGTATGTGCAATTGTCATTTTGCAGTAAAACTGGAAGCACTTTTTTTTTTTTAGATTTTTATCATAAAAATTTATATTTTTGGATATTTGGATACACAAACAATGCATAAATATTAGAGGTTGGGTGAAGACTCCTTTTCTGTTGTTTTCCCCATAAAACAAATGAAATGTCTAAGAAATTCAATGTCATTTCTTTGCCTTTTCAGATAGAAGAGTTTCGAAGACTGAGGACCCATATTAAAGGTGCAGAACTTTTAGAAGGCTGTGATGGGATATTAGGAGATAACTTTAGACCAACCCAGCCACTTAGTGATAGAGTTATCAGGGCTGCCTTCCAGTAGCAGAAGAAGAACAGCAACAAAACAAATCTTTATACATGTAAGTGAAAGTTTTTTCCCTACCATGCTGAAAAGGAAACTGAAAAAAATGGCAATTACACTTATTCAAATAAAATTTCAAAAAGCCTCAGTGAAGCAAATGGAGAACTCCTTTTTTACTCCAGTGAGGCCAGTGTTTCATCCATCTGCCTTCTGACATTATATCATGGGTTTCATCCTCCAGTTCTGAGTGGTACAGTAAGCAAACAGCCAGCAGGTGGCTTTGAGTTACTGAGGAAAAAGCAAAGCCTTAGAAATGGATGGGTTATAAATTCTCTCTCTCTCCTTTTGCAATTATCTTTTATATACAGATAATATTACTTACAGAAACTGTTAAATAGACTTCAGTGCAATGGCTTAACATTCCTCCCTTTAAATATAGCATACATATTTTTTTCTATGTAGGTACTCTTAAGTATTTTATAACTGTGGGAAATTCAGGCCAAATAGATGTTAACAGTGAAAATGTAAGTCCTTGTGTTAACATTGCTTTCCTACTGCTTTATTTAATTTTTGGACACTACCTTAAGTTTAGTCATACATTGCTTAAATGGTGCTTTGTAGTCACAAAGTGTTACCTCTTTAATCTTGAAATGGGTGATTCCAATCCAACCCAGATCCTGCATAAAAATTACTGGGGTATTATCTCAGTAATATTCAAGTACTTTTTCAGGCCATTGTAGGTAATTCGATTCTTTGTACCAGTGACATTATTTGACATGCTTTCTTTGAATTTTAAGCATGAAAGAGTTTCCTTTACAGATGTTGGAAATGAAATATGAAAATGTTCCCCTTTTCTTTCATGTTTAAAATTTTATTACCTTTGTCAACACTTACAAATAATTGTTTTAAATAATCAGATTTATCTTGGCCATGCTTCAGAAAATAACTCACAATTTTGATTCCCAAAGGATGAAGTTTTACATGTAAAATGCTAATATCACTGTAGGACTGTGCTAAATTAAGGACCCTAAAGTACTGAATGAGATCTATGACTATGAGCATTGTGCAGGCCCACAGGAGACAGATTTTGACTGTCTGCACCCAATTGAATTATTTGCCAGAGATGTTTTGTTTTTAGTGTTGGATATGTCAAACCAAATAGCACAGAGTGAATCAGTGCATTCTCTTTATAAAGTCTGTCTTTGAGGAATTCAGAGATTGTCTTGTAAGGACTAAAAACTGTCTTTCCACAGTGTGGCCTAAATCATCCCTTGTACAGAATAACAAAAAAGAAAGAAAGGAAGGAAATACTTACATTCCCTTTGTGGTATTGTCCTGGCACTGTCCACTGCTGGAAATGTTCGAGGGACTTCAGTCTTTTCGCAACACTAAAGGCTTCAAGGATCCATGGAGAAAGCACCTTTTCTGCTATGTGGAGCCAGGGAAACATTTTGCTTTGCATGTTCTTCACCTCAGTGAAAGTATGGCTTCAATAGGATCTTCCTGATACAGACTGAAACCCCCTGTCACTATTTAGTAGCAGCTGTGAAGGTAACAGAGTACCCAGCTATATTATCTCTCACATGCAAAAGTAGAGGATGGTGTTAGGGATGCTATCATTTCTAGTGTCAGACTGTTTCCTGAAACAATGCCAGTACACCCAATAATTCATGGAGGGGCATCCATGTACTAGGCAGCTTACAGATGTAAAAAAACCCCAGCACTTTAAACTCTGTGCACCCACACGCAGAGCACAATGCATGCCCAGAAGAAGCATCGCATTAGCTGGACCTGGCTCACCCAAAATTTGTATAGATTGGGTGTTTTAGTGAGGTGTTAAGGTGCTTTTATTTAGTAGGTGATTGAATCAGCTTTAAATAAAAAAATGCCAAAAAGCCCTGCTGAAGCACGCAATCTATACAAACCCTGCAGAGCTGGGTCAAACTAATGCGGGGGAGCTTTTTGGAGTTTTTATCTAAAGCCAATTCAATCAGCTACTAGATAAAAGCACCAAAAAAGCCGGTCTAACACACCCAAAATATACACATGTTGGGCGAGCCATGTCCATCTAAATGCGATGCTCTTTTGTGGTTCAACAACCTGCACATATTGCACATTAAACCACTCATGGCACTGCTAATTTGCAGCACGGGCAAAATTTGCTACTGGGATTTCCCAGTAGCAAAAAGCAACCCCCCCGCAAAACCCAAAAACCCCTGGAAAAAAAAAGTGATGCGAAGCACACCAAAATAGTGTGCACTGGGACAAACATGGAGACGGGGAATCAGGCAGTCCATCTCTACATGCTGCTGTGGAGTCCCTACGGTGATGTAGACCACGCCCCTGTGAGCTGTGGACAGCTGGCTGGGGCACAGTGGGCCTCAGGACAGGGGAGTAGGCTGCCTGCTTCTGGGTCTCCACATGCCATTCCCTGGCTGGCTGGGGCACAGGGTGCCTCAATGAAGTGGCTACCTGCTGGCTAGCCCTGTACTGAGGCACTCTGTGCCCCAGCCAGCCCCTCCTTACAGCACATGGAGCAGCACACCGAGAGCTGGGAGGAGCTGGGCATGGGCAGTTTCCCATAGCGGGACAATGTGTTCTGCAACAAAGCACATGTTCAGGGACATGCGCTATGGCACAATGTAGTGGCACAAATTTGTGCTGTTACAAGCTCATGCCCCTGATCATCTGCATGCAGCCTACATGCATAAAGGCTAGCAGACTGTTGATTCTCAGTGCTCCTATATATAGATAATATGACCATCTTCTGTTTTTCAAGTCAGCATAGTGCAGCTGTTTGGTAGCTGGTTTGCTGCCAATAAACATGGGAGAACCCTTCACAAATGTCAGAGTTCCCTTGACTTCATTGGTCTATCAGAGAAAGGCAGAAACAAATGATTAAGGGGAATGTGGTAGACAGACAGGAAGACTAGAGAGAATTCAGAATGAAGCAGGATGTGGGCTCCATGTATGCCACATTCATAAATCTGCAGAACATCTGCTCCTCAGCACTGATTGAATCTCTTGCAGTGCTAAGCAAAACATTGTGTAATTATGAAACAATGTAATATAGTACAATGGCAATAGATGGTAGTGCATTTAAAGAGCTCTAAAGAACGGAGGCTAAAATGACAAACATATTTTATTCAAAGTTTAAACAAACGAATAGTATCTTTTGCAGTCTCTCTATACAATCAGTATATACACTAGTAACTCTATAAAGTAAAATTTAGAGAGGTAGCATAACCTTTAGTGTCAACAGTCAGGCATTTTAAATGCTGAATTAATACTGATACCAATCAGTGTGAATATTAGAAATGGGAATTTTGTTATGCAATGTTGGCTACTGGGATGATATTTCCAAAAGCATCTCTTCTACAACTTCTTTGCTGAAATGACAGAAAAAGACACTGCCTCAGGGTTTTCCAAATAAATATTATGAAACCACAGTTAACATGTCCAACAATATTTTTCTCTCCTTGTCCCTCCCACAACAGGGTTGATCTTTCTTTGAAAGATCGTCACGGGTCTCGTTACCTGCTAAAAAAACAACCTGTTCCTTTTGCTATTTCCAGCCTTTCTTGAACCTCTCCAGCCCACATCACAGGGCACCTATACATGTGATGGACTTCTGCTCTGACACGTGCTAATTAGCATACGTTAGGGCAAACTCAATTAATCAAGTCTGTGTCACGTGTATTCAGCATCCCTTTGTTTCAGGATGGCAGCAGGGGTGCTTTAACTACAGCTCATCAAACAAGCTTTAGTTAAAGCATGCCTGCTGCCATTTTGAAATGCAGGATGCTGAATACATGTGATGCTGCGGGCATCTGAGAGCTGCTCTAATTGAAGTGTCCCCCCTCCACCCCAGAGCATGTATATAGATGCCCACAGATCACTGGCTTGAGTTGATTCACAACAGTCTAATAACCTAGTTGAGATGCATGAGGCTAAAACCTCTATTTATTTTTTTTGCAGGGGGTGGGGGGGATGCGGTTAAATTTAACCATGCAAAGTTCAGTACAATAAGAATTGATTTTAGAAGAAGGCGGTCAAGTGAAAATAGGAGCAGTGTCACAAACTCTTGTGATTTTATTGAGAGACATGCAATATTTTCTGTTTTTTGTAAAGCCTTTCAAGCTTGGATTAGGTCATTGCTCAATAAACTTGAGTTTTTATTTTTTCTCTGCAGAAAACCTCGAAAATGTGGATTTGAAATGCTTAAGCTCTAGAAGGCAAATAAAGAGTACCTCAAATGTATTATATTTTTACAAATCCAATCTTGTGATATATTGGGACCCGACTCATTTATTTTTGAATGAGCAAAGTTGTCAATATTGCAGAAGTTTAACACACAAATGATCTTTTTGGGCTAAGCACATACTTATCTGATGTGTAGACAGGCACTTTTTCAATAGTGTATTTTTCATTGGAGATTGCACTGTGTATGATTTCCTATTGATCTATTACCCTCTACATAATCTTTGTCACTTTGCAGATAACAGACTTGATAGATGTGCCTCGTGCTCTGTTATGTCAATGGAGCAGTCTTCAAATACCTACTAAATCCTTAATCCTGGAATATGCTGAACACTGGCCTTAAATCAGCAAGGAACTTAAACATGTCAAATTTTAGTCACAAGTAATTACATTAATTTCAGTGGCACTACACCTGCTTGAAGAGTAGATGCATGTTAAAGTACCTTGCAGAACTGAAATTGTTGAGCCTGATCCTACGTGCATTGTAGCTAATTGTAAAGCTTCCATAAATTTGAATGCTGCAGAATTAGGCTATAAATGCTAATTTCAAGGGTAACTGAAATCAAGGAGAATCTTTCCATTGACTGCAATGACTAGTTAAAATTATTGTTGGGGAAAAATATTTGCACTACTTTAAGGATACATTTTAATTTGTTTTTCCATTGGGGGAAAAAAAAACAACTAAAGAATTGGTCTGCAATATATTATCCTTTTTTAAAAGTGCTTTGAATTACATAAAATATCTTTTAAAAAAATTTTGAGCCCTACATCAAATAGGTTATTTTATAGCCATGGCAA